GCATTTTACTAAGAAATTATAAATTTTAGTATATAAATGAGTATTCATGTTCAAAAAAAAAGTGACTAATAACTTTATTTCTATATACTTGCTTTTTTAAATCTCCATTTATGTTCTTTTTAACTCATATTCATGTTAGAGAAAGAGATAGGAGAGGCATTTTATACTAAAATTTTGTGTTAGAGAATAAGACATACGGAATGTGCATTATAGATCTCAACATTATAAAGGCGTTAGAGAATTTGCATATACATACTTTTTATTTTACTTGCTTAACCACTCAGTAATAAAGACCTAATAGTATTATACAAATACACTCCGGTCAAAATTTAGTAGGAATAGTCTTTAACAATGGAGGAAATAAACTCATAAATAAATACTATTCAGATAAATAGAGAAAAATTTGAAATATTTTTAGGGGATCAATTTATATGAAATTATTTTGTCACACAAACATAGTTTCACAAATGATTTGCAGTGTATCACTTATTACATCATATATACTTTAACTAGGATTGAAAATGTGCTAATTTATATTATACACGCCTATATGCATTGGTTATAAGATACTTCATATAGCTGGATAATATATTATTTTATTAATACAATATTCAGGATCTGGGTCAAGGATTAATCTAAAAAATTTAGCACACAAACTCACAATTATCATCTAAGTCTGTGAAATTCACAGTAATATCTTTCCTGTAAATATGATATATGTATTTTAATGGTGAATCACATATAGGTTTCATTTCTGATGATTTAATCTTATATGCCTCGTATTTCTGAAATTTTGATAAAGTGTATATAATTATACTTTTTATGAATACTATAATATCTGGAATTCTGTAATCATTTTAATATATCAAGCTAATATGTATCTTTAATAACTATATAGCCTTGCTGATATAATAATTTCTTAATAAGTATATATATTGCAAAAAATAATTGTTGCCATAATTAGGCTTTCTTCTCATATATCTAATCATTTTTCACTAAAAAGCAATATTTCTCATATCAAATTTGTCTTAAAGGATTATATCCTTCATTTTATATCTAAAAATTTCATATCATCAAGAGTACCATTATTTCTTACCATTTCCTAAACTTATTTTGCTAAAGATTTGGGGTTTTTCTTATAATTTCTATAAGCTTGCTAAATAACTGTTACATAGAAATTCTCAAACTAATAGTTATATTGTCTTATAATCAAAAATTCCCAAGATCACTTCATAGTTTTTCTGAAATACTTTACTAAAATAATTATACAGTATATTGGAGGATCTAATCTGAAATAAGCAAATCAGATTTTTTATCCTACAAATGACACATTTCACAATTATACTAGGCAATTATGCATTGCAGATTATATAGCTATTCATTTTACAAAAAAATAAAGAATAAGTTATACATTACGCCTTTGACTAAATAATATTAGTCTATAATTAACAGTTAAACTGGTTAAATAATCGTGATTTTTGTCCTATTTCTTAATCTTAATGCGAACTGATTAAGATAGTTTATAGATAGTAGTAAGTTTTTCTGTTTTGCATATCGAGATAAGATAAATATTTCACTTGTATTACTCTTGTAATTCAATGATTGATAAGAAGTTGGTAAAATCATTTCTTACCTGGCAGGCAAAATACAAGTTGGCTCAAAATTTAAAGTACTTAGTATAATTACTTTAGAACATTTATTATTCCAATGATATTTTATAAAGACTTCGGGTTTAACTTTATAGTCATATCTGCGCTATCCATTCAAATATTTCTTTTTTGACTTTATATCGTCAACCTTTATTAACTTCCAACAATCAAAGCAAATAGCCATTTTATTATTGTGAACATTAGGCCTGTGATAACTAATTAGAATCTTTTTTCCTATGCAGTTTTTACGGTATGTCTCAGTTACTCCTTGTTTAAATGATCTGAAAAAATAGAATACATGATAATAATTACTATATTTTTCATTAATTAATATTCGCAAAGTTAATCTTACTCAATCAGCCCATTGTTGTAAGTTTCATGCGATCTAATTATAGATAAATTATCAAAATTTTTTTCTGCCTCAAATATCTTTTCAAAGTCAAAAAGAGTGCTATAGCTAATATATACATAATAATTTTTAATACACTCTATTTCATAATTGGGTAAAGATTAGTGGGTTTAGGCACAAATTATTAAAAATCTTGTCTAAGATAATATAAATGCATTTATCAAGCCTAGGTCTATTAACAATATTTCCTGATATAATTATCAATTTATAGCATTTTTAATGAATTTTAGCAATTCTTTAACAACTTATACTAGATAGTATTATCATTCAAATTTATATAGATTTACTGATTTGCAATTAGATGATTTGTAGCTGATTTGTAAATTCATTTTTATTCAATTATGCCCTTGTTCAAAGAACTTCGTAATGAAAAACACATTCATATTTTTTCCTGATGGTATGATTTGGCTAAATTAGATCTGATTACCATAGACAGCTAAATTATGTATAGCGTCTTTAGCTAAAATTTGTATCAAATGAGATCTCTCTAGTCTCCTGCTAGTTCCTAAAAAAGTTTCAGATGCTGGTAAATTTCTATAAATTATGAGATGATTAGCTAATCAGATTTTACTGTTATTAATCTATTGATATGCTAGCTAAACCATTATTATTATTTGATTAATCATTATATTGATCAATTAATTTGCTTCGCAATGATCCTAACATATCACTTGATATTATTTTATAAAACAGACCTTTAGAGAATCTTCTCGCCATGTAAAAAGAAATACTATAGAGTTCTTTGATGCTAAACTTCACATCCTCATTAATAAACGAAAAATAGAAATATAGAGTATTACACTACTACAAATAAAAAGAAGTATCTCTTTTGGAACAAGATTGCAAAAAAAATAAATGATCAAGAAAATACTAATTACTTCACCGGTGAGAAGTGTCATAAAAATTCTTAAGTTTATGAAAGCTTTTTATGTAAGTAATGTTGGGAGAACACTTGATACTGCTTATATTTTACAAAAACCTATCTGATTAATATATTTATTATTTTATAGATGGCGAAAAAATATAGAAAAGGAACTGAGAATAAGAGAAATATGGCTGGAAAGAAGTTATATGAGGAATTCTTAACAAAGTTCTGGCAAAAAACAGGTAATTGTATTTTAAGGGAAAATATTTTAAGAGGGTTTTTTCATTATAAATAAGACATATATATTATTATTTGCTAGAATCACGATTTGAACAAGTACATAATGAGAATGCTAGGAAATCAAACAGAGTGAGTTCATCATCTCACTCATTGATCTCTAGACCTGAAATAGTGTCAAGAAAAGAATCAAAATCTCCTTCAGAGAAATCATTGGATATTGCACAATTATTCGAAAATTCTCCTCCTGTGTCAAGACTGGTGATACCATCTGTGAAAACACCAACATCTTCTAGGCCTATAACATCCACAATTCCTTCATTTTTCCAAAGCGCGAATGTTGATAAATGTTACTATTAATTATGGAGGTAGTTCAAAAGAGAAGGATTAGAATCTTTTTAATTCATAAATTAGCTATTTTTTAAAACTGTATGTAGAACAACCTGTTTGAAAAAAAATATGTGAATAGTAAATGCACATATATAGGTGCTGTAGTTCTTCAAAAGCAAATGTAATAAAAGCATCATATATCACTTGCAAAATAAATGCATGTATATTTTTAAAAATCAAAATAAAGCTCTTTATTATATTTCTTCGTAAAGTAATATGTGAGAAAGGACTAGCCGGCTAAGTAAAAAATGCGTATATTTTGATTTTATTGGTGAAAATGATAATTATACATGTCTAGATAATGTTAAAACATGGAAAAACTTCGGCAAGTGTGAACAGGCAATCACACTTGAGTAAAATTTTGAGCAGTAAATATTACTGGCCCGCTTTTAAAACTTTAGTAATTACATAATCAATATCCTTCACGCTCAACCCCGAAATAGATAACGCAGAAAAAGACAATGCAATTTATCTTATCTGCCCCTCCAATCCCATAAAGATCTTTATTGCCTTTTCCTTCCTTTTTCTAAGATTAACCTCCGAAATTTTGTTTTGGCCCAGAAAGTACTTCCAAATTTATCATTAAGATGTTTCATCACTATGTTTTTTTATAATGATCAAACCATAATCGGCTTTGATGATTCTATCGTTTAACTCACGGTAAGTATGGATATACTTTGGTAGGATGGAAAGAACTAAAAAAAAATATTTAGCAACACAAAAGCATCATAAAATAAGGAGAAATGCCGTTGAACATGGTGAAAAACTGGAAATACTTATCAAAAAATTAAATCCTTCATATGTTGGTTGATAAACTAGTCGACTTGATTGGCGTTGTTCTCATAAAAAAATGTATTACTAACCAAACAACTTGATTCGGAAATTTTTAAATAAATTCTTTTCTCACCTGCAGAAGCTGTGTCTACGTACACTGACAGAAGGATGACAGCCACCAAGAGATAACTTGGATATCTACTGACTCATAATTTCACCGCCAATGACTGGACAAACATGAAGTTATGGCGTCTCCTAGATACTAAAGATACAAGGGAAGGCCTCACCGCCAATGACTGGACAGTCGCAAGAACCTTCAGCAAAGTCAGTAGATCAACTTTCACCGCCAATGACTGGACAGACGCAAACAATTGTTGGCCATCAAGCAACTTATAACTTCACCGCCAATGACTGGACAGACATAAAGTTATAGCGTCTCCTAGATATCCAAAGATACAAGGAAAGGCCTTACCGCCAATGACTGGACAGTCGCAAGAACCTTTAGCACAGTTGTACCCCTCCAAGAAGGAAAGAGTTTTTGGAGTTTTTTGTTTTTTGTGTACATTTTTTGACCAATTACAATTCGCGTTAATCATTCAGTAAATTGGAGCCAATCAGACCATCATGCTTTTTATACCCTGATCGCATTAGATGGTCACCTCACCACCTACCAAACATGACCGCAGTATTGAGAACGAATAAGTACTTGCAATTTTTTGTACCTGACGAATTAGAAGGCGTTAATGATTATTTTAAAGAGGTGGAGGCTCAGAATTGGAGATTAAAACACTATCTTAATTACCGTTTAGAAAATGATGATATTATCTTAGCCTGGACAACGGTTTATAAAGATTGGAAAGAATCGCTCGAAATAATTACCAAGAACAATTATAAAAATATTCCGGGTTGTATATGCTCTTTTTGTACCGATTTATTAGACATCAATACTTTCGAAGGTTCGTCTGTTCTATCATGTTGTATGGACTGGTATACCGATTTCTATGATCGGAACTTCGACCTACAGTTCGCTGATAGAATTCAGCAACTGGAGACGACTATATTCTCATCTCAAAAAATGGCAGAGCTTCTGCGAAAAACAACAAGTAAAAACAAACGAACACAGGATAGCAATGAAGCAGGGCCAAGTGAAAAACGCATTCGACGAGATACCTATAATTTTGAATCTAAAATGGTTTGAACTTCAAATCCATATTGTTTATGTTATCTACACGACTTATTTTTAACTTACCTTTATTCTATCATGTATAGCATGAAAATACACCGTCACCAATCCTATTGAGTTCTCAGACGCACAAACTAAGTGAGGGGGAAGATCAGAAAGATCAAGAGGATGAAGAAGTCGACGAATATGAACCCGATTCTGAAGAAGACGAAGTTAAACAGCGAAGAAAACTGGTTCTTGATTTTCTAATAACCCAAAGCGAAGAGTTAAAAGAACAGATACAGCTTGTACCCACAGACCAGGTAGAAATTGATCCTTCTCCTTTTACATTCACGTGTCATGGGTTAAATATTTTTTTTTATTACAATTCATGCACAGTACATTATCACAAGTAGCGAGGAAACTGTAAATGTGTCATCGCTGTTTCAAGAAATAAAGTCGATGGCCCTATCATTAGCACAAACAAAAAAACTTTCATATTCTAATAATTATATATATTATGTTCTGTAAGCTTAGAATATTTTCTTCCTTAAATAATAACAAAACGATGAATAACTTGTTGCTTACAAGAACCCTGTATTTCTAGTTCTTTGTCTTCTGTTTTTTTGATACCAGATCATCGGACGAGTCCGTATCCAAATATCAGTGTGACAAACTGGAAGGTCATCCGGGCCGACTTTAGATTATCATACGAGTTTGACATAAATTTTCAATTAGTACAAGACACGACCAACAAGGCAGTCGAAGTAAGCATTGATTCCTTCATATCAAATAGATTATTATACAGTTATAATATTATTTTATGTATTTTAGGCTTATGAAGAATATGGTAAGAGGACCGCAATTAATGTTGTTGATAAAGCTTTATATCCCAGGGCTTTTGGAGAAGACAAGGATAACATTGTTGGAGATACTAGGATACTACTTGAGCTAATTAGATCATAGTGAGTTATGTTTTTGTCATTTGGTTGGTTTATAATGAACTGACAATATAATACTTGATTCAAAGCCTTCGGAGTTTGCCATTAGAACTTGAATGGGATTGTCCAATCTCAGAACCTGACTACTGGATCTCCCATTTAGCGCCTATTTTGAATGTATATACTGATGATAATGGTGCCTGTATTATATGGTACTTGATATTCATAATTTGTTCGTTATATCTTTTAGCTATTATTGATAGTTAACTTAATTCTTTAGGAATACACGCTCAAAAAATTCGGCAAAAAGAAAGAAAATGATCGATCCCCCATTAATTGCTCGTACACCAGATGCAACCTTTAAGTGTTTCAACATTCTGGTAGGAGGGTTGGAAGTGAAAGTACCAGAAGTAAAAACAGAGCAATTAATCTTCTATGATCTTTTTAGATTGACGCAATTTTTAAAAGAAGATCTTGACGTAATCATTAATACGACAAATGTAGAGAATCCAAAAGTCTTTGAGATTCATGTGCATGGTAAATCCGTCTATATTAATCTCAATCTCTTTTATAAGTATATTCATTTTTTTTTTTTTTTTTTTTTCCATATCCTATTAGGAGGTAATGCGATATGTTATGTAATGCAATTGGATCACGAAGGAATTTACGAACTTAGAGAATGTTGCAAAGTACCTATCCCTATGGTTATGAGTGATTTATGTAAAATGATATATGCTATGAACAAGTACATTGCATTCTTAGTAGGTATTTCAGAAACTTGAGTATTTATCACAGATATTTTATACTAATAATATTTCTTGCATAGAAGATGCAACGCACCATGTTTAAAAAGCTTATAAAAACAACTTGCAAGGTAAAGTCTTCCAAATCTATTAATCAAAGAGTCACAATCACTACTCCGATAAAGATTCCCGTCAGAAAATTTCAATAATTAGAATTTCAATAACATCACGTGTATGTATAATGTTCGAATTTTTTAGAACGATTAGACTACAGGAATAGTGTAATGAATTTGACTAAAATTTGTCAAGCCAGGGTGAAGTTAATCTGATTATTGAATAAAACATGTATGCATATCATCGATTGATGATTAAAAAATTACGTGTACATTATGGATTAAAGCCAAATCTTTATCATACATTAAAATCAGTAATCTCCTAAAATTATTACACATATGACCCTGTATTAACATTCATATACGCTCGAACAATAAAAAATAAGTATGTACGGTCTAAAAGATTGTTACCAATCGCCACGGGAAAAATATTTTACTACATTTCTCGGGTCATTTAGCACCCTAAACGTTTTTTATTTGCAATACATTGAGCTAAAATAAATTACATGGTGCGGGCGGGACTAACCCTGGGTATATGATACCATTCTATGACCGTAGACTATTATACACGATTATTTTTTTGAACGATATTCCTCTATTCTAGCTTTTTTTTCTTTAAGGCAAAAAAGTTCGAGACGTTAGTCCATGATACAGTATATGATAATAGTGAAGACTCTTCACACTTCCAGCCAATAGAATCAGGATCTACCGACTAATAGGTATTACTGCGCATTATATATGCTCGGCTAAGCCACCCACGTGATTCGAAAAAAAGAAATATACGAATTCGCATAATTCAGTCAATGCAAGTATCCTAGGCAGTTACTGGAGAGATGGTGGAACTTATTACTGACTGAAGTACAGGATCATCAAATATACTGTATATCATGGTTCTCATGAATTTCCATGAGTATTTTATCAAAAGCATCATCATTTACTTGGGGGTCACCTTGTGATCACTCTTTAGGCTTAGTTGGTGTTTTTTCTTCTAACTTCACTAATCAAGCCATTTCTTCATACTGGAGCCTTTTATGAAGTTCGTGATCATACTCATTATCAGAGTTGGATTTAAAATATACATTGGAATCAGATTTATTGATATCAGAGTCAGATTCATTAGCGTCAGAGTCATTTAAGTTAGAATCATGAGCTGAAGTAGTAGCTATGGTCTCAGAGGTTTCATTCACAGGACTAGCAATTGTCTTTGATTTGACCTGTTCTATGATGTATTCGATTTGAGGATTGGTGAGTCTAGAGATGCTATCAGCACTACAAGTGATCTGATTAACCATATATCCTGATATATCATCAATCTTTTTCAGAGTTACAGGGTCGTATTCATAGTCAAACAACTTATTAATTTTCTTGCCTTATAAGTCCTTACACATAAATATATATCAGAAATGCCCATAAAATATGGTTTCATTTTATTATAGATCTGCTTTCTTATAATCTAATCTATAAGTTTCTTATCATTAGACCTAAACTCCACAATAGAGGTTAGAACTGGATTTATATTTTAAATCTGGATTAGATACAATAAATCTGGATTCCTTCATTTTATCCGGATATAATAAATCCAATTCCTTCGTTTCATCCGGATATAATAAATCTGATTTCTTCGTTTCATCTGGATATAATAAATCCGGTTCCTTCGATCAATCCGGTTAATTTAAATAAATGATTTTAACTAAATGCTGTTCTAATCATAAAATTCCACGAAAT